GAGGAGGGAGGAGGGAGGAGATGAAAGATGGCGGTCGATAATGGCGGCGGCAGGAGGGGAGGTGTTGCAAGATGGCGGATGGAGGAGGGAGTAGATGAAAAATGGCGGTCGATAACGGCGGGGGGAGGAGGGAGGAGATGAAAGATGGTGGTTGAAAATAGCTGAGGGAGGATATAAATAAATTGCGGAGGGAGGATGTAAATAATGGCAGGAGGACATAAATAATGGCAGAGGGAGGAGGGAGGAAGAAGATTGGGGAGAGATGATGGCGGGAGGTGGAGGGAATGGAGGAAGATGAGGGAGAAAGTGGAGTCTGTGCCACATAAGCATGGGGGTGAGCGGAGGGCGATGCTGGAAACTGGCGGAGGGAGGAGGAGGAAGGTTGCGGAGAGAGATGATGAGCAAAGGGGGAGGGAGGATGTGCAAGATGGGGAAGATTGGAAGGATGGTGGAGGGAGGAGGTGGAAGACGGCGGAGGGAGGAGGGAGGACATTCGAGATGCCGGAGGGAGGAGGGAGGACATGGGAGATGGCAGAGGGAGGACATGGGAGATGGTGGAGGGAGGACATGGGAGATGGCGGATGGAGGACATGGGAGATGGCGGAGGGAGGACATGGGAGATGGCGGAGGGAGGACATGGGAGATGGCGGAGGGAGGACATGGGAGATGGCGGAGGGAGGAGGGAGGAGGTGGATGTTGTGGAGAAATATGATGGCGTGTGCAAGATGGGAAAGATTGGAAGGATGATGGAGGGGGGAGATGGAAGACGGCGGAGGGAGGAGATAGGACATTGGAGATGACGGAGGGAGGAGGGAGGACATGGGAGATGGCGGAGGGAGGAGGGAGGACAAGGGAAATGACAGAAGGAGGAGGGAGGAGGTGGTAATTGTGGAGAAAGATGATGGCGGGCGGTGGAGCGGATGGAGGAAGATGATGATGGAAGATAGTGGAAGTAGGGAGGAGGAGGTGGAAGTTGTGGAGAAAGATGACGGCGGGAGGTGGAGGGGATGGAGGAGGATGATGGCTGAAGATGGTGGGAGGTGGCAGAGGGAGGAGGAGGGAGGAGGTGGAAGTTGTGGAGAAAGATGATGGCGGGAGGTGGAGGGGATGGAGGAGTTGGGATGACGTGGAGGGAGGGGGAGAGAAGATGGAGTGGGAAGGAGATAGTGGAGAAAGGAGGGAAAGAGATGGAGAGGGAAGGGGATAGCGGTGTGTGCGCACCCTGCGCTGTGTGGTGCACGCACCTGCTCTGTGCTGCTTGCGCTGCATGGTGCATCACGATGCGCCGTAGGTATGATATAAGTACAGTGAATTTGTGGGCCGTATGATATTAGTAGAGCGAATTGGCTTGGCTCCTAGTGGTTTTGGATCTGTATCTGACCGAGAACTCATCCTAATTAGGAGGCGGACCCAAGTATCCTGCAATAACATTTGTGGCCTTAAACATACTGCTGATATCGGACTTCATTATAATTGTAAGGTGAACATTTGTGAAATAACACAGTTGTGACAGCTAGGGTTTCTGGGGTTTAGGTTTCTCGGCATGTGCTGCTGCTTCTGTCTACAACTCCACGACTTTTATCCTTTTGGGGGCGTTTTGCAATTGGACTGAAATCCCCGTTCCTCAGCAGCCCATGCGGCCGGCACGCTGGGGATGTACGAGGCGGCTGTGGCTTGAAACCTAGCAAATGGGCTGCCCTGGTACTGTGTGGTACCCAGTCTTGTAAGGCAGTGCATGTCACTGTCCGATGTACATTATTCCACGCAGACAATGTGATGGATATACTTCGACGCTGGACACACATCCAGAGACCCAAATCGAAATGCAGTTATGCATCGTCTGGTGTTGAACCACCTGTGTAGCAGCAGAGGACGGGAAATGACGGGATAAGGTAGTTTGAGCTGCGGATGAGCGATGATCTACATATGTATCGGGGAGGATTCTACCGCCTGATTGTGTGGCACTACGATTTCTCGCTACCTGCGCACAGGGCGATATCAGATCCAAGAGTGCAAAAAGAGCATAGCAGAGGGATGCGTAGCCAATCAGTAGTATGTGATCTATTCTTGCAGTGAATTCAATCTGACCAGTGAGCCTATGGACCGCTATTTTTTGCTGTCTGATAATCATCAGAGTGACAATAAGTAGGAGTAGTTCATCCTCAGAAACTACGCTGGGATAGGCAGAGGTACCATAGCATCAGTGGTGATGTATGTATCCGGCGAGTGGATGCCAAGTACAAGCCATGAAACAGCGAGAGAGGATGATGTCGAGATTGTTTGCTGAAACCGAAAAGATCGAGATCGTGGGAGAACTCTCCAGATGACTCCTCTGGAGATTCAGACACGGGATGTGCTCTTATTGGAAAGATGTCTCCACCATGAACGATTGATTGTTCAGACTTGCCTGAATAGGGGTCCGGTCTCTACAGGGACAGTTTCCGCTGAAAGTGTGAATTGGTAGATATGGCAGAAGGTTGCTGACAGGAAGTTTGTACAGGGGGAGGGTAGGTGAGTGGGTGAGAGTCTGAGTAACTGGGTTGAAACTTGAAACGGTCCATGCAGAGCGAGTAATGTGATCTTAGCTAGTATGGACCTTGCTCGACTACTCAACACTCTACATGCACTTCGACGGATCAGGTGCGTTTGGAGCGTTCCAACATTTCCAATATATTGGGACAACCATGAGCTCCCGATACATCTAGAGAGAGTATTGACTAGTGGAGCGAGGCCCTATGTGGTTAATATTTGAGTGAGTGATGTAACTGTAGCGTGGGTATCCTTTCTCAGATGGGTATTCTCATTTGAAATCCCCTAGGATCCAAAACTGAAGATCCATTGGTACTGTGTGTGGGGCCTCTGTGGCTTTGCCCAAAGTTTTGAACTTGTGTGTGATGCTCTTACGTCCAAAGTTTTGCCCAAAGCTTTGCCCAAAGTTATGATCATGCGGTTGTCGGTTTCAGAGCCCTGAGGTATATTCTCGTCGGACATGCGAGGCCACAAAGGCCACATCAAAATTAACTGTAGTACTTGTCATGCTTGCATTTCTTCTGACGTTGCTTAAAAAAAATGACCCTTACGTCCATGCGGCAGGAGCCTGATTTTCCTACCTATATGCTGGCCTCGTGGTGCCAAGATTCTTGTTGACATTTTTTTTACACGCTTTAACGCTTAAATGGGACCTTTGGGCCCATCACACAGGTAGGAGAGTCGTGGACGTGGAGATCATAATGCATATTGCATTCCTGTTGGTCCTTAGTGAGTAATTGGGCAATGTTGGACGTAGGATGGACGTTAGAAGACACAAGACAAAGGAATAAGATGGGAAAGAGCATAGGAGAAATAAGATGAACGCTAGGGGACATCGCAAATAAACTCTCTTTTGTGACAACAACTTTGCTCCCGTACAACGGGCACAGAACTTGTTATCAGGTTGTTGCTCTGATGGGATTCTGCGATGAGCCCGTGTTGATTGCCTGAGCCATGGTGTCAAGAGGAATGATTGGAGGGAATGAATGTAGTCACTTTATGATGGTCAGACGAAAGAGTGGCCTGGTGGAGGTACTGCTGGCCTCAATGTGGGACTTATGGCCGGAGTTGAATTTGAGGGTGTAGTTCGCTCACGAGCGTAACTTGTCTGTTCCTGCCACTCTGGGTTGGAAGCCCTGGATTGGTCTTGAAGTGGGGCTTAGGGCCGGAGTCAAATGAGACTGTAGCCCAAGCACAATCGACGGTCGTTTGTTCTTATCACTGTGGGGCTAGACCGGCTCAAATGATTCCAGGGCTTGTGATTTACGTCCTCAGTAGAATGACATAGCCATCACTGTGTGGCTGCGTACTCTGCGGCTGCAACTGGGGTGAAAAGTCGAACCGATAGCAGGCGGGTGGGCTAGCATGTTGTGATTTGAAATCAAGACATCTTTGTGCACCAGTACACCCAGCTGAGGCAGTTGTAGTATCAGGTTCCATTCCAGGTTTGAGAGTACTCTCTGAGTCCTGTGAGTTGCCTGCAAGGTCATCTATCATAGGTATCATGATTACTATTATGTTAAGTGTAATCATGGCTTAAACCATCACTGTACGGGGGCCTTCTGTCGGTCCCACAACTGAAATGGGGCAAAAGAACCGAACGGATGAAACAGGTGGTCTGCTGTACTAATCAACACGATGTACTTGTGCACCAGTGCGTACCAGTTCGAGGCAGTGATAGTTTAAGGCACCATTCTCTGATGTTGGAGAGTCCTCTCCAACTCCTCTAGCTGCAAGGTTCATCATAGATGTTAATCATATTATTATTATTATTATTCTGATGATGATGATGATGATGTTACATGCAATCATGTCTTCTGCTGTGAGCTATGTGCAGGTCTGTGCATGTGAACATGTGGTGAGTGTGGCATGCCACCAATCAAGCCGTCATTGTTATTCAGCGATTGGCCTGCAATTTCGCTCACGTCACTTCCAAGTTCTCTGTGATTGGTTGAGATGTGAAATGAAGGGCAAGATGCAGTGGGCTAATTTTGAAGCAAGTCCATTGCTTGTGAGAAGGTTTACAGAAGAGGGGCCCAAATGGATATATGTGATGTGATGGCTGTTTTGGGTAACTGGGTCGGTGATGTAGAGAAAGTTGGGTCTTAGCGAGGACGCCAAAAGAAGGAAATAGAAACGAATTTGGAGAAGCCATGGCCTTGTCGAAGTGATGGTGATGTGGAGATTTGTAGGTAATGTGTCTGCAAAGCTGGTTTTGGTGGTTTCGAAGTCCGTGCCAAGCCCCGCTTCAACCATTACAACAATGTCTCCAACTGACTAGTGATGGACATGGGAGGTCATTTAATCTCTCTCTGGTGGAGTCGAGTTATGATGGACGTGGGTGGTTGGTTGTGTGGTCTTTGCTCGAGTTATGGTGTGACCCATTTCTCAATTGACTGTCAATGGGGTACTACCTGATGGGCAGAAAGGTGTGCCTGAAGTAGCTGATTATGTCTGGGTGTGATTTGCAGGGATGCCCCCTTACTCTAGGAGGGAAGCGTACAGGGGAGGTGGTTGACAAGGTCCTCGTCAAAGACAAGAGATTGAAGCCCAGGATCAGAGGGACAGGTGGTACAGTCATGCGAGGACTAGAAAAAGAGAGTGGGTGTAAACTCCAGTTGGAGGAGCTTGCCAGTGATGGGTCCTTCAATGTGCGGGTCACTGGACCAAATAGGATGGTGGTTTTGAAAGGTAAAGAAGTGATAAAGAACTTTGTGAATAAGATCATGGAAGAGGGGAGTGGAAAGAGAAGGATGGATGGTGTCGTTGGTGATGACAATGATCGCCGTGCGTCCAATGATGCTCATGGTTCCCGGAGGGATGGGGGGGATGGTGATCTGCGCAGTGCTGATGTCGATAACCATGGAGGAGGCTGGGATGAATCATGGAGATCATGGGCTGGTTCCTCAGTGGGAAACTCTAATCCCGAGTCTCGAGGGCTAGGTCCTGGTGGTCCTTGTGACTCCATGCTAGGATCCGGTCCACGTGGAGAGGTAGGATCGGTGCTACGAGGAGAGCTGGGCGGCAGTCCACGTCGTGAACCAGGATCTGGAATTCGAGGCGATTCCCTGCTTGGGCCGTACGGTAACTATGGCGACAGAGGCTATTCTTATGACAAGGGTTCTCCAGGTCGTCGAGCAGGTAAGAGCTGTCTGCGCTTCTTCCAACCTATTTGTGTTTTCGACTCCTGAAGGCGTGCGACTCCAATGGAGGGGCCTCAAAAGTTTGAGAAACTATATATCCTTTACTCCTTTTGCTAGTAATCAAGCCATGTGAGTCTTCGTGTTTCAATTCAAAAAGTTCCTCCTTTTTATACTTTTCCTCTTTTGCATGTTTGTGTTCAGGTTTGTCTTACCACCATCCCAGTCTTCTTTGTATGTGATGCACGGTGTTGCGGAGCTGCGTTTCTGTCGAGGACCGGAACGCGCCTTTCTTTTGGTTTCTATGTTTGCGCTGGCCGAATGTCTGTGGTTTCCTGGTCCACCATAAGAACTTGAGATTTTTATTGGCTTGGGGGTTCCTTTTTCTTTCACCATTTTTGTGGGCATCTTTCCTCTGATATTTTTTGTGGGCATCTTTCCTCTGATATTTGTGCAGCAGCTGATTTTAATTCTCTGTTTCCTGCTGGTCGAGCGGAGCTTTTATAGATGGTAGCTATAATAATTAGCCCCAATCTAAAGCGCCCTTCTTCCATTCATAAACAAAACCATAGAGTGTAGTCGCAGTAGCTTTTCTTATAGGGATGTACAGGCTGAGTGCGAGAGGTCCTGGAGGGGAGAATGGAAGAGCCATTAGTTGTATTCATAGTTTCTTAATGAAACTCTCCTCCTCTCTACTTCTTTCCAGTGTTTGTCTTATTTCTGGATACCATGCTTGTGGTGCAGTTCGTGGCTCGCCGTGTGTGGATTGGTGGTGTGCTGCACTTTCTTTTTTTTCTTGTGTGTGTGTTGGGGGGGGGGGGGGGGGGGNCTCTGCAGAATTGCCATCTTCACCCGAATAGAACCCCCGGTCATTATAGCCGTATGTGGTGCAACTTTCAGGCTACATACAGCGCTAATGACTGGTCTCTTATACACATCTAGATGTGTATAAGAGACAGCTACTCTCCCGCTGTAACAGGACTCACCCTAGCCATAAAATTTAATGTGTACAAGCTATCTTTCGGATCTCACACAGTCATGATGACCATGGCGGGCGTTCCCCCACAAAAACAAAGGTCCATGTCAGAAACGGCAGTTTTTCAGGGATAGAAGCACCCTCATTACGACCAGAAAGCCGGCTTACATACATCCCTTATTCACAGCAGTTTTGGCCACAGGAAGAGCAGTTGTCGGGGACAGAAGCTCCTGTGTTCAGCAAAGCCCTTTCAGGAACCTCGAAGGTCATACTCACACAAGTACTTTCCTAAACGTATGTGATCGCAATTTATGGCCCGCCCTGGATGAATCAGACTGCAGTATGAAAAGTCCTAGTGTGAGTATGCCGCGGAAGCGTCGACATTCTGGAGGAATCTCCTCAATTATAGCAAAAAAGCAAAAGAATCCATCCGGTTGATAGTTAGTTCGGATGCACTGTCTTCCTCTCTACTTTTTGCCTAACTTTGTCTTATTTCTTGATACTTGCTGCTGGGGTTGGGACTACATTGTCTGGAATGAGAGTACGTGCACGATTCTGTTGTGGCAAGCTTTGCACGAGACTGGGTTCGTTACAAAGGTGTTCATGTTTGGGCGTTTGGGTGGAGGGCTGGGACAAGAGCTTGTCGTATCAGTTTGTGTGAGTCTTTGATCCTTGGATGGGCTGATGCTAGCTGTCTGAATGGTATTAATTAAGTACTATTAACCTCATACTGTTTGTCAGGTTGCTATGCCGGGCCCTACAGTGGGCATGAGGGAGAAGGAAGCTGGCGCAAACCTGAACGACCCCCACAGACGCTAGAGGAGCTGGAACAGTTGTTTCTGCAAGAGACAATAGACCTTACAAGGACTCCGAACGTCGAGGAGGAGACGGAAATTGCTCGTCACAGGGAGGTACGTCTGGAGGCTTCTTGGACCATCAAGTCAATTGTGCTCCTGTGTATGAATCAATTGGATTTCTCCGCACTATAAAAACCGCTAATGTAAGAAATCTTCTAGCGTCAGTCCATCCCGGCCACGGCCCGGATTGTCACAAGAATGTTTGAAGTATTGAATCCGGGGCCATCATGCCCTGCGTGGCCAATGGCCAGGATTGTCGCACTTTCTTAAGATCTTCAGATGGGGCAACGATCCGGGCTGTTCGCCCATTACCACTGGGCTGACAGCCCAGATTGTGAATTGACGGCCAAAAAATAATTTGGGGGTGCTGGGCTTGAGGAAGAATCGGTTCCGAGTGCCGCCGGATCTCACGCCACCTTTGTGTTTCCTTTTGTCCCTGGACATGGCGCTGTGCTACTGGCTCAGATCCTTGGCGGCGAGGCAGGACAAAAGTCTGCAATGATCGGGGCCGTTCGCCCACTACCACTGGCATGACAGCCGAGATTGTAAATCAGCGGCCAAAAAATAATTCGGGAGTGCTGGGCTTGAGGCAAAAAACCTGTTCCAAGTGCTGTATCTTATTCCACGTTTGTGTCTTTCTTATTGCCCCTGGACATGGTACGATGCTACCGACACAGATCCTTGGCGGCAAGGCAGGACGGAAGTCTGCCGAACCCATCTCGTGCAATCATGCGTTTTTCCTACAGACGTGAGCAGTGTATCCCAAACATGACAACACACACACACGCATGCACACACATGCATGCACCCAATACACACACACACACACACACACACACACACACACACA